TCAACTGCGTATGACAGGTACATACGAACTGCTATCGATGTATAAAAGTCCATGTTCGAGACGTGTATGGTGGCTCCAGTTGAACCAAAATCTTATAAACAGTCCGGGATTCGCTCCAGATCTGGAGAGCGGTCGTGGCGTCACGTTTCTTTTGTTTTCGGCGACAAGGTCGGAAATTGCCGTGAAAGCGGGTCGACTTATTTCTTTGGGCATTTTCATCTATTTTCATTGAGTAGAGACTGGATATTGATTCATAGTAGTTCTCACGATATTCGGAAGAATAGCTTGAGGTGAAAATATAATTGCGAGATGAAGACGATGGTGAAAAAATCAGACAAGTTTTACCTGGCTTGAGCGCCATGACAGTGTTTACGGGTTCGGTTAGTAGTTGGATATACATTTCTTTGGAAAGTTAACGAATTTTTCCCGGCTCAAACATAATTTTCACTGAAAATTTAATAGATGTAGATTATTTGTGCCAAGTTTGGAGGTGGTAACCCTCCCAGATTTTCGGTAAACCCTCGCGAGAAATTTTAGTTCCTAAAACTAGAGTCGGGTACGGTGATCAATTGTATCACGTCTTTCCCGTGTATCAAAAACCGAAGCTCATTGTCATACTCGTGACATTTATAACTTGATGTGAACTCAAATTTTGTATTTTGATCTACACAGCAATGTAATGGATGGGCATAAAAAAGTTTTGTTAGAGAGATGCAGAATCTGTGGCTGTAGCGTCGCGAACGATAACAGGAAACGTCCAACTATCGATCTGAAAGTTGATATTGAGATCCCCGGTGAGATCGCATGGTCAATGAACGTGTCCTTGGATTCACCAAACACTCATCCGAGGTTTCTTTTTGTGAAATGTCGCTTAATATCCCTAAAAGAAAAGCATGAGTTCGAGATGAAAAGAAGATACAACACAACTGTTGTTCCAATCGAGTGGAAGCCTTATACTTTTGAAGATTGACAAGATCTTCGAAAAACCGGAACCTACAGTTTGGCTCTATTTTAGACAAATACTGGACCTTCTTATAGAAAAATTATTAGATTTCCAGGAATATTTAATTAAAAATTGCTCTTTCATTCATTTGCAGCACTCAATTAAACCTTCAGAACCGTGAAAAGTACTCGAGGTATCGGACGTTCACTTGTATTCGTTCGAGAAGCTCTTATGACTGCAATGTTTACATCGAAGCAGAAAACAATAGAAATGTGACGTGTCCACTCTCCAGATCTGGAGCGAATCCCGAGTAGTGATATATGTCTATGCATAGGGTCAGGTTAATTTATTCATGGATTAAATATTCATATATTCCTGTTACCATGGCAAATCACCGGAAACGGAAGTGATTGGGGCGATGCATCGCCCAATGGGAGGCGGGAACGGGAGACGACGCGGGTGACGTAAGTGGGGATTTTGATTTTTTTATTTTGCTTGAAAAAGTATAAGGTCCCGCGAGCTGGGTTTGAACCAGCAACCTTCTTAACTATAGTCCGACGCTCTACACGTTGAGCTACCACGAGCACTTACTTTAGGGAGGTGTTTAAAAAGGTAGTCGAGACGTTGGTTTGAGGTTAACGGTTTTTAATAGGAGGGATAGGTATGACATTTACAAGTACAGGTGTCACAGGAACAAACACAGGTATGACCATTAGAGGTCATCCATCGGTCACGACTTTCTTTGATGTATTGCTTGCGTTGTTCCCTGCGCTCTTCTACTTTGCGCTTTTCTTCTTTTTGCTCGTACGTGCGGAGGGCATCTTTGGARACCTTGATTTTCCATTGGGCGTAAGCTTCAATGAGGCTGGACTCCCCAGAGTGGATGTGAGGCCCTTGGGGGGGATTGACCATGGCAAAGGTATAGGTGTTCCAAGCAGGGAGGAAGCCTATGCGTCGTAGGATGCCATGATTGGTGACGAGGACTTTGCCAATGCCTCGAGCAATGTCGTTGGCTATTTCCTTGGGAGTATCAGGGCTGTGGATGAGGTATTTCTTATGGGTTTCAGGATGGATAAACCACTTGGCGTTTTCTTCTTCTTCAAGGGTGGGTTTGGGTTCTGCTTTGTTGTGGGTGTTTCCACGAACTCGAATGAGGCTGGCCGTGACTTGGTCGTCGACGGTGGGGGCAGGCTTGGCTTCTTTGGAGGCCTTAACTTGAGCCTTAAATTGAGCGTAAGCTTGAATGAGGCTAGCTGATGATTGTGTCTAAAAGAGTAAGGAAATAAAAAAAAAAAGTTAAAAAAGAAAAGCTCCCTCGCGAGGAGTCGAACCTCGATCTCCAGCCAGCTCTGGCCGGTATCATACCATTAGACCACAAGGGCTGCTATGAAATAGAGAAGTAAAGTTAAGGTAGTCTAGGGTAGGGATCCGGAAGTAATTAGCATATAAGCTTTTTCTTG